AATGAAAGTCACACATCAATGATAACAGCCAAGCCACCAGAGGAAAGCAATTGTCTCGTTACACTGAGGGGAAGAAAAAAAAAAACATCCTTCTTAAGCATTTACATTTTGATCACTTAAAATATTATAGGAAGAAAAATAATAATTTGTTTATAGATTTTTTTTTCACCATGATTCTACTTAAATACAGACTGACATTTCATGTTAAATCTAATCTTTTTGCCCAGTGTTCCTTCAAATGTAAATAATAATAATAAAAAAATTAAATAAATAAAACATCTGTAATTTGTTTTAGAAATACAAGGTTTTGTTAAGATTTTGGAATACCTGATTTGGGACGTTGCAAGGTGATTAGATCACTTGTGTCCCAATAGAGCCCTCTGGTGGACATTTCTTTTATTGCAATAATTTTCAAAACTGATCAAAACTAATGTTGAAAAATTAAAAGGTTCGTGGCTTGTTTCAGCTCCAGTCAATTCAATTCTGTCCTTGGGTTTTTTTTTTTTTGGGTGGGGGCAGGGGGGGTTCTTTACCAGGGTCCCAAAAAATGGATGTCAGGTCAGTAACTCCCTCTACTTGCCCTTGAGAGTGTATATCATGTGACTGGTTGTGTGTCTCATTTATTATATGCATGCCCGAAAGAGTGGCTAGCTGTCTAGGAAGAATCCCAACTACTTTTCCTTTGACTGCTTGAAATTAGCAACAACCTTACACAACCTAATTATGAAAAATGAGACTGTTGGTTGGATGAAGTTTCAAAAATAATTTCTCTGCATGAAATATTTACTCCTTTTACCCATCAAGCATAATATTTTCTAAGAAAATATTATTTTTCCTGTTTTGCTGTGATTCTTGTTACTTTAATATTTTATTAGGATTAATTTTGTGGCTCTGGTTTGGTCTCAGATGGTGTTCTATATTTAATTATTCCTAGTACATCTGTTCTGTATTTAAATCTGTTTCTGTTTAGATGTGTGGTAATACTATGTTTTTTCCCTCATAGTTCCTATTTTAGTTTAAAGTCTGTTTAGAAACTTTTTCCCCCTGTATTTTATGCTGTATATCTTTCCATGTCTTTTCAATATACCGGACTGCTTCATTTAATAACCCACCTGATTCCTATACTGCAATCACTCCTCCCTTTATTCACTGTTCTTTTCAGCTCTTAGTGGGTCTTTACACCAGCTGGTGTTGTCTTCAGTCCTCACTGCAACTGGACCTTCAGCAAATCCCTGACTCATAATAATTGCATCTTTTTTTTCTTTTTTTTTTCTGTTCTCGGTTATCATTCAACTAAAACATGTTTTTGGTCTTTCTTTCTCCTAGAGTTCAAAAAAGTGACCCAACATTGTACTGAATATCTTTTATCACCCATGTTTTTTTGTTTTTTTTGACAAAAGTTTTACAATCATCCAAAGCTAGATCTATTTGGATGCATTAGAGTCAGATATTTGTTTCACTCAAAGTAGCCAACTATTTCATCAGTAACATTTATGCTTCACCATAGCAGAGATTACTATGTTTACGCCATAAAGTCATGTTTTCTATCCAATATACACAAACATTTGGATATTCTTCATCTGTCGGAGACGTTTCTCTTGTGATGCTGATATATCCAAAAGGGGGCAGTGTAAATCAAGCTTTGTGGCTTTCTAAAAATGTTAGATTTAAGTCGCAAAAGGGTCTTGACTCCATTTCCAGATTAATTTAGAAGCCCAGAAATATGTGACTGATAAAAAGTCACATATTTGTGACTCATCAAACAGCTGTAATGTCACAGCTTTTATTTCAATTTAATGAACTTTTTGGTTAATTATAAAATAAGGAGTTTACCTTGTGTTTGGGAAGAAGAGGTTTGTGGAAATATATAGAGATCCATCACGTTACAACTCTTTTCAAAAACTTAGAACTACATCCTTTGTCTAATATTAACAGTCTTAAAGGCAATTCCTCCAGGGATTTGGCTAATTAAAGACATTGTTACTTATTCAGCTGTTACTCAAAAAAAACCCATCTTGTTTATGCGGCTAAAACTTAATTTGGTATAAGGTGGAGCTAATATGCTGGCACACATAAAATAGGAAAAAAAGGCCTGATGTGACATTGTGAAAAAGACTAATGGACCTGAAATGTGCTTCTTAAAAGAAACTATGGCCGTGGCTTTAAATAACAAAAATGTAACGAAATTCATAAAGAACACTCTAACGTCAATTTTTTGGTTACACAGGCAGCATTTTTCAACACTCATTGACACAGCCACCTACAGTTTGGAAATATCTGCGGTGCGCACAGGTTTCAACCAGTTAACCTCACCCCCAGTTGAGCTATCACACATGCCGTGATCCATTTCTTGTATTATTCCAGACTCCATTTGGGTTTTGGAAATGTAATAAATTGTGTTCCACCCTCTACACACTCTGGGTAACTGCTGTCAGGACTGCATGTTCCCTACTGACAATGTTGGACCATGATTTTCTGACATTTTCCTCGAAATCTCTATGACTGCACCGCGTTAGCAATGACAAACCCCCAGCAATGTTGATGGAGGTTCAGTATCTCTAGATAAGGGGCATGTGCTTCGGGACAAATTGCGACTGCTGATTGGTCAGTTACTGAAAGAAACCCTTAGAATAGTTGACAGGTGGCATCATGTCAGCTGCTTTGTCTAGAGGAGAGAGAGGCATAAACACAATAAGACTGAGCAAGGCGTATGGAGGGGGGTAGCTCAGTCAATGCCCCCCTCCAGAATTGTGTCACTGATAAACAGACCAAATGTCTGATCAATTTCTGTGTGTACGAAAATGTAATTAGAATTTTTATTTTTATGGAAAGAAGAAACAGAACACAAAGTTATTGTCAGCAAAGGCTTCAAAAACTATATAATCTGAGAGTAGGACAAAGTGTCAGAGTATGGAAAGGTGGTCAGCATGTTCCCTTTCACAGCCTGAACTTTTAGCATCATAACTTTAAAGATAGCTTATGATAACTTAAGCCACTTTATCTATAAGCTTTATCACAAAGGAAGGTGTAAAGCTGCGATTTTAAAGTAGACAGTTTGTCTTCCTCAAGGACTAAAACTATGAGCTGTTTAAAGGACACAAAGCAGATAGATGAAAGCATTTTACCTCTATTCTTTTTTTTAGGAACCACAGGTAAGTGAGAAGTACTCCGTTGGGAACATATTGATTGATCAGACTAATGATGTATGGTAAAGCTTGATTATTAACATGCAGGAAGGAAACTTTAAAATTATACTGTGGATTTGTCAGGGAGCCAATGAAATGAATCTAAAATTAGCAAAATCTTTTTGTATAAAAACTCTTGCAGCAGTATTTAGGATAAGTTCAAGGTTTTTAAGAAGCATTTTAGGATTCTTCATAATAAACAATAGTCCAGCTTTGAAGTAACAAATATTTGAAGTAGGCATTACTCTGGGCTTAGTCTACAATTATTTTTCTATAACTGGAAAACATTATGATTGTGTCACTTATAAAAACGCAGATTGCCTCTCTTGGCCTGCCCCCAAGTTTTGAATCCCTGGTTTAGATCAAATGTCGCTGTTTAAACACTAACTTGTGTGTTAAACTTTGTGGTTGAAATGGGACAAAATATAGTAGAGTTACTTCCATATTCACTTTCTAAGATTTTAGATTTGGACAGAACATGGAGATCCCTAAAAAAAGATCTTTCAACACAGTTGTTAGAGGTAAATAAGGACAAGAACTTGTTGACCTAAGATGGCCATAAAACTTTTTCTATGGACAAACCAGGACTTGGAGAGAATTTGACAAAATCCTTCTGCATCTGCGGCCTTGGTAAATCAATGGCATCCAGATATTCCAAGGATTTACCAAAACGTTTTGCTTGGAAAACTGTGGAGTAGTGAACAAGAGACCAGAAACTACAGAGAGTGCGAGTGGGAGGTGAGAGAGAGCTCCGTCCAGTGCAGCCAAGGCAAAAATTTATGGTCAGGAAGAGCGATGAATGTGTAATTTACGGTGTATGCTTTGCCATTTTCCCTGCCTTCCCTTTGGGTAATGAGAAACGGCTGTTTTGTTGCGGGCCCAATACGTGGTACACCCCCTCCCATCTGGCCATGACACACCATTAGTTTTTATTTCTGTCTCTGCTTTTACGACCCCCTGCCCAGGCGCCAGCATTTGGCCGGTGATCCCGAGCATCCTATCACACCATCTGAGCTCTTCCACCTCCCAAGATGAATGTTTGTACCCAAACTTTACCAAGACAAGGCTTTTTTTTGTTTGTATTATGCTGATGAGACAGAAGGTCGAGGAGGATTTTAGTTGCATTCTTTGCTGATTTGATAAAATTCTGATTAACACTTCAGCTTAAAAATATCTGAATTATAAAATCTTTATGCATTTGTCATTTGTTTTCAGTCTGTGAAATTAAAAGAAATGTATTGATTGATGCTGTGGAACTAATCCACTTTTAAATTAGGTTTTGACAATCTTGTGCATTAGTTATCAGGGAACTTAAAAACGAAGTCTTGTGTCTTAAGGTAATTTAAAAAAGAATAAAACTTTGCAGGGCAGAAACAAAAAACAGCAAGACAAAGAGTTAAACCAGCCGTAGTTTTGTCAAATGATCCGTCATTAAAATGTAAAAGCAAAATCAAAATGGAAATCCACTCAGAGGTGCACAGATTAATTGGTCCTGATTTCCGTAATTTTGGCAGCTCAACTGATGTGAAACTGATCTTGTCCTCCAATCTTTTAACCTCCTCAAGGGTCTCAAAATCAGCCACGTTTCTCTTTTGATCTCCCATGAGAGACGGCTGACTGACGGACTCAAAGCATCTTTGCAATCTGTTCATATTGAATTGATTGACAGTTCATTGCCTTCCTCTGAATGTTCAAATGTTTTAAAAACAATGAACGTATTAAGCAAAACTCCTCTATCAGCTATGGCTTGTACTCAAGGAACTTGCTATTTCTAAAAAGAATAATTACAAGGGAAATGCACAAATTACAAGCACATCTAGTGTACGACTGATGCATCACCAGCGTCATCTGTATTTTATTCAGGCTTTCACAGAAAAAAAGCTATACATAATGATACTAATACTGGTAAACACATCTTGACATATTACATATCTCAATCCATAGTATCAAAGAATGAATAAAGTACCATGTAGCATCTTCAGATATTTACTGAAAGACCAAAAGCATTCCGTGTATGCGATGTAGTCAGTTTTCGAAAACGTAAAATGCTGTGATTGTTCTGAAATATGAGCAGTAGGAAAACATTACAGTTGTGCAAAATCATCAGATCATGTTACATTCTGGTTATTGACAGGGCTTATTTGACGGCTAGTGTAATGGCAAGTGTGGTTCTTATATATTAATGTGCGTCTATATGTCCTTCCATTTATTTTCCAGACTTAGTTCCTTCAGTCTATGAGACGAGTAATAAGACAAACTGTATGTCCAAACGTTGACTACTCATGTTCACACAGCAAAGATCCGTCGAACACTTAAATCCGTGCAGATATGCATATAAACTACGCAAACACGAATACTTCAGGTAGATTTAAATGCACACAAATGCACTTGTACACAAATGCTACTTAGTATCATGCAAATATTAATTCTTGTGCAGATATTCTTTTATTCAGATAAAATATTTCACTTAAAACAGTCAGAAAGCAATGATATTGTATTTTTGCTTAGAAGCCACAGAAGGTTATGGATATGAAGGATATGATTGGTTATTCTTGTTTTTGTACCAGATGCCTTCAAATGTGCTCACCAATGACTTTTGATCCTCAGCAGCCATGATTCGTTTCCAGTGACTTTGTTTTGTTTCAACTCCCTACAGAAAATAACGGTGCTGTTCATTGTCTCCACATCATGCGCTGTGACGTTTGAGGAACTCCATCAGACACCTCTCCAAAAATACAAAAACAAACGAAATACAGATTGTGATTACAATCAGGCTGGAAATTATACATTTTGTCTGCCTAAACAGACTTTAGAAAATCTTCATGAAGAATCAACCTTCCTGCTTAATGCTGCACTTTGAAAAGAAAGACCTGTCCAAGAGTTTTAGTACAATCAGTTTATGACACAGACCAAACCAAACCACAATTTGCAATGTGGCTTCGCTATCCAACTGTGATTTCAAATGGAAACCAGCAAGGCTGTCCGAATAACACAAGATCCGCAGGATTTTTTTTTTTTTTTTTCCAAAAGCTTCAGAAAACCTTTTTGTTGAAGCAGTCCTCCAGTTCTCATTGCATCTTCTACAATGCAGCATAGCAGCAGTAACTTTTTCCCTCTGCACTCATGTCTGTGTGTTTTCTGGTGCTGCTGGGCAAGGCACCGTCTCAGTTTTTCTCCTGTCCTCACCCAGCAGGCTTCAGAGTTTAGGTGACGGCGCTGGTTGTGACGGTGGAAGCCGTGGTGGTCCTGCTCTGGCCTTTTCTCCGCTTCCCCCCTCCACCTCCTCCTTTGCCTTCTCGTCCTCTCCCTCGTGCATTTTCTCTCCTGTTTGTGTCATCCTGTCTGTTGCTCTTATTCTTTTTGTCTGAAATGACAATATACAGACAAAATGATTGATCACTCTGCTTTCCAACAGGAATCTTAAAAGGCAATTATCATCACCTTGTGTTTTGTGGAGAAACTGCTGTCAAAAGAACAACATGAATTGCTGAATGAATCTAATAACTAATAACGGATGCATCAATATGGCCGCTTGATCTTGAACGTCTAGATAAGCCTATTAAAATGTCAGGATTTTGTAAAAAAAAAAAAAGATAAGACCAACATAATTTCAAATCTATTTTAAACCTTAATATGACATCCTGCACAATTTAAATGAAAAAAAAAAGAAAAAAAGACAACAAAATGGATGCAGAAGTGTACAAACCCTTTAACCAATGCTTTGTTGAGGCACCTTTTGATTCAGTTTCAGCTTTGAAGAATTTTTATTTGGTCAACATCCTACATCTTGACTTTGCAACAATTGGTTAATATGTCTCATCAAAGGTTGCAGGATCCATTAGTAAAGTTACGTTTTGAGAATATATCTTGTCCACAGCTTCTTCGTTCCTAAGCGCACACCTGAGAGTTCAAAACTGACTAGTATTTAGAACTATTCTGAGTTCCCTCACTTTTAAGAGAAAAAGATTCACCCATAGCATAATCCACTATGGCAAATAGGGCTTTTTTGCTGTTATGCAGGGGAGTAGTCTTCAAGTAGTTTGGTTTCATAAGCCCATGATAGATTCTTCCACAAGACCTTGAAAGATTTTAGACATGACAAAAACCTTTAAAAAGCGCTTATGTCTTTCAGCCCTCTTCAGTTTAGACATTTAGATAAAACGTGAGACCAATATCACACGAAGAACACAGGACTACTCAGAAATTGCCGCTCTGTTAGGGTTGGAGACTCCCTAACCGATATCTGTCTGTGCCTCTTGATTTACCTTTTTGTATAATTAGATAATTTAAATTCTTTATCATCTTCTGTCCATCTATAGCTTTAGTTAAATGGTGCAAGAAAGCCTTCAAGGAGAGCTGAAAGTTTAGTCAGATGCATTGGTGTTTACATCAGTGTTTACTACCGAAGGCTGACTGCTGGACTTGAATCAAAAAGTGATTCAACAGAGTTAACATTCACATTTATGCCACCAGGTTATTGCAGATTGTTTTTTTTTGTTTTTTTTATTTCTCAGTCTGACAGACCTTTTTGTTCTTCAGTTGGGTAATATAATGTGTTGCACTTTAAAGACGGAAACATTCTGTAATTGTTTGTCCCAGGTTTGGTCAATTTGGAGATGAATTTTCATTAACAATTAAGAAAAATATCCATATGACAGAATGCAGCACCACAAAAAAGTTGCAAAAGTATGTAATAGATGTGCAAGGCCAATATACAGTAGGTCACTCTATTACAACATCCATAGACTGATACTTGAAATCTGTACCTATATATTTAGGAACATTTTCCTCAATCAGTTAATATAGTACATATTAGCAGTGGCAGTTTTAGTTTATTTTGGGTTTCCTAGAGCATAACACCTGTGGAGGTCAAAAAAGTATAAGTTTTGGGGGAATTTTGGGACACCAGCTGCATGACATAAGAACTTATTGTGACTTATTGTGTCATATGAACTGTCAAGAACAGTTTGAAAGGACTTGCCAGAGGAAAATAGTTTTTGTAAGCCAGAAATGAAACGGCTCTAAATGAATATGCGGAGGAAATACTAAAGATTATGATCCAACTCATTACCACAACAACTACGTTTGCTTCTATGTTTTAATGGTCTGGATGAATTACTCACATTCTCAGGAAATAAACACCAGCAACATTGCTGGAATAATGTTTGGAATGGGAGCTACTGTAGTGTCAGTTGCTAAAGCAATACTTACTACAATAATTATCTGCCTAAATCTTAGAAAAGACATGATATGCTTTTTCGGATTGTTCAATTACTGTAAATGTTTAAGTCCTCCCTCAGAAGCGGTCTCTCCTACATTTTTAGATTAGTGCAATTGAATCTTGTGAAAAAAAAAAAAAAAAAAAAAAAAAAAAAAAAATATATATATATATATATATATATATATTAGATGGCTCCAAATATTGTATCATTTCTAACCAGGGACCTGTTTATTTGTAATTAAAATAAGAACCTATTTCTTAGATTAACAGCTTATTTGCAGCAGCGACCGTCTCCACAACTGAGCTCCACTACTGTACAATCTCACTCCTGCAGGAAGAAAGCCAACTCCGAATGCTGTATATTTGCCGACAGTCACAGAAAATTAAAACTATCATCTCTTTAACATCAACAAGCCAGAACTTTTATAGCAACGGATCAACATTAGCAGTGAACTCAAAGCCCAGCTGTCCTGTAGCACATGGGACCGATCTGGCAGTGGTCTCTTGGTCTGTTTAATTTAAATTTCAACAGCTACTCACTCCTCTGTCCCACTTGACACACTCTCAAACCGTGCACGCCGTACTCTCTGCTTTAGCTCTTGTACACACCTGTCACAGATTTTAAGGGCATAATCACAGCCTAAATAACAGACTTCCCACACTGTAGTTAATTTTCAGACACCATCAGTTCAGAAGTGGGATGAGCTGACCATTTTAAAGGTTTACAAGAGCACTATGGATAGTGAAGTAGCAATTTTCTGTTTTACAAATCACTTAAAATCACTTAATGAGACATATGTCAAGGGCCTAGCGAAGGCCAGTGACAACTTCAATAGTAGCCACAAAGTGGAAAACAGACATTAATGTCTAACAGTCACTGAATCAAATTTGATTGTTCCTGAGTCCTGAGTGCTAAAAAACACCACAAAATCTACAAGCACATCTAAAAAATTTTAATAAAAATATGAAAATATATGTATATACATGCTGATTATTTTTTGTCACTTGTTTCACAAAATGAAACTCCTATGTGTTTTTGGTTCATTGCACACAGTGGAAAAATATCACTGAATTCATATATTGTGACATTGACTTTCTGAAATGAGGGACAGAAAATATTAACTTTTTTAGCATTTAATAACAAATCAATAGTTTTTTTGTTCTCAAATACTAAATTGGAGACTTCAGTTATTTACTTTGAACCTTTAATAATAAAAAAATAATCTTGTGAAATGATGCATATGCTTCTATTTCCAGGTGTATAAAAATTATTTTTGGTATATGCTCTGTCTTGTAAAGGAGATATGTCATCATTCTATTTGGCTGGGTTTTATTTACAGATGTTTCTGTCCCATATTTTTGTAGATTTTCAATGAACCAGAAAAAATCTGATTCTCTGAATCAGAGAAAATCTACATAAAATATGTAAAATATGTAAATAAAATATGTAAAATACATATTTTATTTTTTTTAAAATATGTATGATTTTGTAAAGTAAACAAATGCTTATATGTAAAAAAATATAATAAAATATTATAAAATTTTTATTTATTTACAACAGTAAAAAAAATTAATTATTTATATCTCTTACACAGAAAACAAAATCAGCTAGACTCTTTAATGGCAAAATTAGCATTCAAATATTGGTCACAAAATCTAACCTGTATTTCTGCCACTGACCCACAAAAACATCGTTGTTGGCATATTTACAACTAAAACCTAGAAGAATCTGAGCCATGCTAATTTTCCGGCTACAATTGATTTGTTAAAAATAAACACAGCTAAACACTCATTTGGTGAACTGACTGACATTTAGCAAGATTCCATAAAGAATGTGAATCATTAGTGTCTTTAATTTCATTAATGTTGCATCCATAAACTGAGCTTTTGTGCTCATTATTTTAACAATCCCTTAAAACTAAGCATGAACAGCTGAAATTAAACATGCAAGAGCGGAGCATGTTTGAAGAGTCCTCGAAAATATTTCAAAAACACTAGCAGACGCACTCACTGTGTAAGGACTTAATTAGGTCTCTAACAAATCGCTGATGGAGCCGAGAGACGGGGACTCCATCAGTTTATGACAGCTCTGATTGCACCTACTCTCCATCCAAGCTAAACAGTTTTGCTTGACAAATGCAATAACACATGCAGCAAATCCTTTCGCGTGAGACTTTTTTTTTTTTTCGTTGAGCTTCAGGAAACAGTGGGGTGGGGGGCGGAAATCACAGCCAAATCAACACAAAGCGTGAGATGTGCAGGCCACTAAATCACTAATGTTATACAAGATCTGCCCCCTGTGTTTTATATAGCCCGCCTGCCAGCCAGCTCCCACAGATGAATCCACAGCTGCGCTCTTTTACCCACATGAACTTGTTCATTGGAGTCACAGTGCCATCACCCATGAATTATCCAGCCGATAAAAATCATTCCCGTGCATTTTAGTAGAAGTTTAGCAAGATGAGGCTAAGGGAAAAAAAAAGGCTTCTAAACTTTAACAGTTGGTTGTTACGTAATCCGTAAGGCTTCTAGGATTTTATATGCATCATAAGAAACCTCTTCTATCATTCTTATTTTCTTAATTTTAAAATAGCTTTGCATAAAGCTTAGAAAGAGTTTGCAATTTTTCACCGCTAAGTATTCTTTCGAACTCAAAGCCGAAGGTTTTTCCTAGAAGAGGTGGCAAGAGTGAATTTGCTTCGTGTGTTTGATACCGTGTAGTCAAAAGGCAAGGCAAGGCAAGGCAAGTTTATTTATATAGCACTTTAAAACAGTACCACTGACCAAAGTGCTGTACAATCACAAAAGTCAGTGAATAGCCAGCTCTTCGATGAACAACTACAATCCTTCATCCGAGCAGATCTGTACGGGACACTGTCAGATCATGTTCTGTTGTTTAGATCCAGAACCCGAGAGGAACTTTCCAAGTTTAGAGAATGGTAACATAATATGCAAGCCCTCCCCATGTTTACTCACATACAGTGTATCGGGGCAGGCCATCTGTTACATGTTGAAACATCTGTACTGCTGCCAGCACTGTGCAAATGTTGTTAGCCAACGTTGCTGCTGTGGCCGAAATCCCCTAAGCGTGCCACCGTCCAATAAAGACTTTAAATACTCCCTATTTAAAGTTCCGCTTGCCCTTGTAACTAACTTTACTGTTCTAGCCTTTGTGAAAATTGGTGCATTATGTAAAAGAAACTGACATGTGGGGGCATTTAGAGAGAAGGTGATTTGCTAATAACTTCAAATTAATGTTAATCCTATTGCAATTGAAGAGATCTAATCCAATGAAATTAAATAAGTAGGCGCAGCAGCTACTAAAGTGCAGCAAACAAGTATTTGACTTTTTTCTGTTTTTGCTTTTAGTGTCACACTTTCTTATTTTTCAAATTTTCAAAAAAGATAAAAAAAAAAATCATTTTGACACGAGAAACCCCGAGGAATGCAAAAACTGTTCCACAAATGAGCTCAGCATTTTTCCGAAAGCTGCTTTCAAATTCAGTGGACCGACTACTGATACAATCAATATGTAACTTACATAGCACCCTCAGTGAGACCATGAAGTGACTTAAACTCTCAAAAAGCAACTCTTCATGTCCTAATCTAAAGAAATGTAAGAACAAACGAGAAACAAGAACATTCATCAGTAATTCATAAGAATTGCAAGGCTTTTTTTCTGGCTCTGAGACTATAGTGAGACACATGAGTAGTACTGAATCCTAGGAATGACTGGCCTACTATTTCTCCTAAAATCACATTAAATGTTGGTAGTCCAACAGAAAGAACAACACTGGACACATTTGAAACCCTTGGCAAAACCCACTACTGTTCAAAAAGAACACAAAGATCTTCTCACATTTTCTCAAGAAATAAAACAAACCCATCTTGACCACCTTTAGGGAAATATTCAGTAGACTTATAAGACACTATGTGTCATCAAAATGTGACCTTAAGATCCAACATACGTGGCAGCAGGTGGGACGATCTGAAGAACATAAGTCTTTCAGTGGGAATTCATTAATGGCCTAGTCAAGTCTGAACCTAAATCCTGGTGTGATAGCTGTTTCTCATACAAACAAACACTGCATTTTCTTGAACTTTATATGCAGAGTTGTTATTTGATGGCCTCAGCAGTTAAAGTATACTAAACTGTGAGAATGACTGTTAACCTGCTGGAGAGCAAGCGGTTGTGTGCAACCATGAAAGCCTCTCGCTTCAGTGGTCTTCAGAAACAAACAGCCCTTTCTCTAGTTTTTCAGATCCCCGTCCAGCTCAGCAGTGCGTAATGTCCACCCTTCATCTGCTCAACTGGTGGATTGAGTTTATTGTTTATACGTGCTAAGCTCAGGAGATTCTGTAACCTTCTTTGTCTTCTGCCAAACCAAGCCCGACCAACATGCTGCGAGTCAAAAATACACTTGTGAATGTGCTAACCTTTTAAAAAAGTGAGCAATGTTCCTTAATAAATGACTTTATTAAGGAACATTTTTGACTTTCATTTGCTCATATGTTCAAGGGGAAAAAAAACTCATTTGTGAATCAGCTTTTTTAATTGTGTCTTTTACCTCTAGGACAAGGCGTCTTGGTCACAACACACTTCCTCCTTTCTGTCTCTGGAGCACAGGTCTGTGAGGGCACATAAGCAGGGGAGGTGTCCACACTGTGAATCTGGGGAAGGGGTGAACGAACCCGGGTTTGTGAGCCCTTCTTAAATCCACATGTCTTGTTCTTCTTCATGCAGGAACTCCATTGGCTCCACTCTCCTAGTTCACACTCTGAAGCATGATGACCTGGGACAAAAATATGTGTATATATATATATATATATATATATATATATATATATATATATTTAGATATGTTCAAAAAACTTAGGAGCTGAGTGAAGGGTTCAAATCTTCAGCATCTCACATTCGCTTCATATTTTCTGTGCTTTTCACACCTCAATAGGTTTGACTTAGGATAATGAGCTTAGGGAGTCTGCACATCTGAAAACAATTTGTGATTTGTGGATGGATTTATAGCAGGGGAGCAACAGGTTTGGGTAGTTGCTTAGAAACTGAAAATGTGTTGTCTTTAAGCAGACTCTGCATGTGACAATTATGGATAGGAGCAGAGCCAGTTAAACTTAGTAATACAGTGCCTTGCTAAAGTATTCATGTCTCTGGAGCATTTTAACATTTTGCCAAGTTATAAGAACAGACTTCAAAGTATTTTAAAGACATCTAGAAAGTATTCACAATGTTCGACATTTACTCTTTCCTCAAAATTCTCCACACAAATACCCCACTATGAGTATGTGGAAAAAGGTTTCGGGGATTTACTGAAAATTGGAAACCAGAAAATCACAATAAGTGTTCACAACCTTCACCAAAAAGATCACAATTTAACTGTTTCCACTGAAATCCTGAATAAAGAGCTGTTAGAGGCTGTACAACAGTTGAGGCGGAGGTTTGCCTTCTTGGGGAACATACAGCAAAAACTACAACACATCGGTTTGTTCAGAACCAGAATGTAACTGAGAATCTGTGGCATGTATTAAAAATTCCAATTCACAGACTCTTATCGTCTAATCTGACTAAACTTGAAAAGAAGAAAAATCAAAACTACAGTTTCTGGTTGTACAAAGCTGGAAGAGAGGTACCTAAAAGGCCTGCAGGTGCAGTGAACGTGGCTCTACAGAGGATTTATTTTAGGTAGGCTGAATAGAAATGCATTACACACTTTTCAGAGAATTCTTTGTAAAATAAAATAAAAAAATAAACAATTTAACAATTACATAAAAATCTAATTAAAATACTTTGATGTTTGTAGTTGTAATGTGTCGAATGTGAAAAGGTTCAAAGTGCATGACTACTTTTACAATGCCAAAAAAGTTTGGCATTTGAAGTATTTCGGCTGTAAGTGCTTCAGGCACTAAAAAGGAAATTAGAGTGTGGATATTGCCTCAAACAATGGCTAAACGAGAAATAAGTAAGATGAAATGGCAACGTTGTTTTGTAAGTTTTATGCAAAAATTGTAAATGTTCACTCACCATCACAATCCATGGTGTTATTGGCGGTGTGCTTGCCTGGAGGGCAGCTGACATAACATCGGCCACTGTGTGAATACAAGCCCTCCTTACATTTTGTGCAAAAGTTGCGACTGAAGCATGCTTCACAATTGTCAATTTTACACTCTGAAAACATACAAAGAAAGAGAATTTCAAAGCAATCAGTTTCAGGATGTTTTCAGTTCCAAACACAGATAATGAAATATTCAGTCTAAACATTTCAAACTTTCAGACAAAATACAAGAAAAATCCTTGATTTTTAGTTTCTCAGAGTTTTATTAGTACTCGTAAAATGCACAGGATTTTATTGTTTCAGAGTAGCTAGAGTTGCCTTTTCAAAACACATCCAATACAGGGCTGATTTATTTCTTCTTCTTTTTTTTAAACTAGTTTAAATAAACACTGCCAGAATCTGTTATAGCAGATTTCACAACAGGTGATTTCTCAATATCTCAGATTTGAAAACCGTTCCAACCGTACGTGACCACAAGTACCTCAAATCTGACCCTTAACACACTTCACTCTCTTGTGTAGCTATATTAAAAATACTCCTGCTGGCCTCTCAGTTAGTCTTTAAAAATGGAAATATCTTTATGATCCCAAAGCGTTATGCTAAAAGTAGCATTGTCCAGACTCCAGAAAATATGTGTCAAAGTATTTATCATCTACAGATTTCTTCTGTTTTTATCCAATTTGGGTCATCATACGCATGTATGTATGTTTTGTCAAGCATACATACGTAAATACAACAGTGATTAAGTTATGTGAATTTCATGTACTTTACCCAACACAGTCAGATCTAATGGTAAATTGTAATTGTGTCATTTTTAAATGATGAATGAACTGTGGTTTAATCATTTTCTTAAAATTCAATTTCACTTGACACCTCCATACACTCAGGCCTTACCGTCTGACTTGTTGAATCTAGAAATCATTTAAATCGCACCTGTCTGAAAACACGAAGTTGGTTAAAAGATTTCAAAAAGTAATACAGTGTTTATGATTTAATAAAACATTCCTTGGGTGTGTGCCCCACTACATCTGGCTACAACTGATGGCATTTCAGACAAGGGAGATCATATCAACAGCCAAACACGGTGGTGGCAGTATGGTGGTCATTGTGGTGGTCATTGTGTCTAACATATTGGGAAGGATAGGTCCCAATATAGAAAAAAAAAAAATCCTCTTTTGTGTCATTTACTAACTTATCAATGCTACTCTTAAAATAAATGTGAGTAGATACATTAATAAAATAAGATATTACGAAGTACTTTATAAAGTTCCATTATGAACTTTCTAAAACAGTGATAAAAATGTATTTTTTTTAAAACAGGCTACATTTTCTGCAGCTGCTGTGATGCCAAAACCAGAAATGATCCATCAGTGAGATCTTAATGCTCTTCCTTTTTGCTTCCAATTACTATTGTCAAGCCTTGACAGCTAAATTTCACATAAACAATCTTTTTAGCATGATAATTTAAGATTAATGTTGCTAATGTTACATTTAAAGATGACATGTAAAAAGCCAGATGATTGGATAATAACCCCAGTTTACCACTAAGTGCCTCTGAAAAGAATGTAAAGGATAAATTTAACCATTTGAGCAACAAAATTGAAACAAAACAACAAAAAGAATGTGTTTTATGGAGTTTTGTTTGGTCTGCAAACCATTATGACATTACATTAACTTATTTATCAAATATAATCTAACTTGATGTGTAAAATATAGTCTATT